GGACGGGGTTTGGGGGATAGGCGGGGAGTCCCCAGCCCTGCGTGTTGCTGTAGCCGGTGTGTGACTGCCGCCACAGCGCGACTGTACCCCCGGGATGTGACTGTACCCCCACGGTGTGGCTGTAGCATGGCTGTGTGACTGTACCCCGGGAGTGTGACAGTACTCTGGTGGTACAGTGTACCCCGGCACTGTGACTGTACCCCCGCCGTACCCCAACGGTGTGGCTGTAACCCCCGGCAGGGTGGCTGTACCCTGGCAGTAAGACTGTACTCCAAGAGTGTGACCGTACCCCAGCAGTCACCCTAGGCAGCCATACTCTGGCAGTGTCCTTTCCTGAGCACCTGTGTCCCAGCAGTGCGACTGTATCCTGGTGGCTCTCCCATGAGCCTTTACCCTGTGGCTGCAGCTGTACCCTGGTGACACCCTCCCTGGCAGGGAGGCTGTACCCTGCCCCAGTGCCCCTGGCTGTGCATGTGCCCCCAGTGTCCCTGTACCCCAGTAGAGCAACTGTATCCTGACAGAGTACTTGTACCCTGGCCTAATGCCTACAGTGTGAGAGCACTCCAGCAGAGCGCCTGTACCCCAGGGATGCCCTCGGTGCGCCTGTACCCTGGCAGTGCCCTAGTGTACCTGTTCAGCAGCAGGGTGGCTGTGCCCTGGCAGTCCTCCAGCATGCCTGTCCGCCTGTGGAGTGCCTGTAGCTTGGCCTGGTGCCTGCAGGCACCTCCGACTGATCTTGTCCTTGACCCTGAGAAGAAGGAAGTGGCTCGGCTGTCAGCGGCACGCTTCAGCCGTGACATGCTGTGACACAGGGAAGTGATGCCTGTACAGACAACCCAGGGAACAAACCCTCAGCCTGGAGCACGCCCTTCCTGAGCGCTGCCTGTTCTCTTGACCAGCTCCTCAACTCAGACACAGAGGGCTTTTGTCTCCCGAGGGCGTTGGTGCCAGAGGACACCCAACATCACCCCCGTGGCGGAGTGCAAGGACGGTTCCAGGCAGTGCAGCTGCTTTCCTGGGCTTTTTCTCGGTGGCACTGTCCCTGGCTGCAGTGGCCCATCCTGCTGCAGTGGTGGCTCTGCCAGCCTGCTCTGCCCGGTGGCTGCTCTGGGTCCAGCTGTGCAGCTGATGCCTGCTCAGCATCACACCTGTCCCTGGGGGTGTCTGTGTCAGGTGGAAACCCCTCCTTTGCTGCCAACACTTTGGGAATAAAAGGACCCACCTGGATGCTTCTCCTGTACTGGGCAAAGGCAACCTAGAAACCCCAGTGCCTGGACCAAGGGGAGTCTGCAGGGAGGCATTGGCTCCTGCCCACCTGGACATGGCTGGGCAGAGAGGGGGCCTGCCCCTGCTGCTGCTGCTGAGCCTCGCCGTGCTGTTGGGTAAGGGCCGAGTGGGATGCGATGCTTTCCGTGGGGCGGGTGGCAAGTGGGGACCATCGTTTTCCAGGATGGTGGGGGGCTTTGCCCGCAGCAGGCACCCACAGGGTGTGGGAGGGAGCAAAACACTGGGGGTGCTGTTTGCTAAATGGGAAGCAGAGGTGGACTTCCAGCACCTTCTTTGTTTGAAGAGAAGGCCTTTCAGTGCAGACACTGACACAGGCACCCGATGGGATCAGACCTTTGCCCTTCTCCATGTTATTATTTAACCAGCTGCTGCCTGCCCCAGCACAGGGAGGGAGCGGCTGCTGGGGGCTCAGGGAGTTTCTGGTGGGATTGATGCTTTGTGCATCCTTTTTGGAGAGAATTACAGGCACTCAGATGTTCCCCAGGCTGCCTTGGCACTGGTTCTGTGCAGGCAGAGAGAATGGCCCTCCTTCAGCTCCCCTTCGTGAGTCGCTATATGTCTTAACAACTTGCCCTGCGCTGCAAGCTGGGATTTGTTTCTCTATGCCCCTCCTCTGTGGGGCTGCTTCCCCCATTGCCATTATTTAGACCTGGCGCTATCAGTTCCTGACTATCTGCAGCAGAGGGGTTTGTGTAAACTGTTGCTGCTGTGGTTCCAGCTGTCTCGGGGTCAGCAGTTCCTGCATGGCTCTTCCCGTCAGACGAGTTTGCCTGACTTCCTCCAGGGATGGGTGAAGGTGGTGGAGCGGGTCTTAGCGCTTGTGCCTACAGGAGTTTCTGCCCCTGACACTGGTGGTGTCCATGGCTTGTTCCTGCTTTGCCAGGGTGGGAATTTACGTGCCCTGTTCTGCTGATGATCACGTTTCTATTCAGGACATCCACATGCTCAATCCATGCAGGATGGTGAATCCCCACTCCCAGTGCTCCGTAGCTGATGTGTAGCTCCGGCTCCCTCATGGATTTCGTGCTGGTGGTGATGCTGTGCTGTCCCTGGCACAGCCATAGTCTCAGCTTTTCTCTGAAAGCCCTTACGTGCCTCACTCTTAACCTCTTTGCAGGGACCACCACCACAGATGTGACAGTCACTGGGTCCCCGACTCTTCCTACCTTCCCAACACCTATGGAGACCTCAGCTCGGCTGCCCACTGCTGACTCCACCACTGCAGCCACCGTCACTCCCTCCAGCCCCGAAACAGGAGCCTCCACCCCAGAGAGGTCCAGCACACCCCTGGGGACTGGCAGGCCCTCTTCACCACCCACACCTCCTCCCACCACACCAGCACCCACAGCTACCGAGAATCCCTTGAAAACCACAGTGAACACCATGGCTACCTCTGATACCAGCACAGGGGTTCCTGGCAGCACCCTGACTCCCAACCCTGTCGGGACCACGTTTGAGACCACCCCTGACATCTCTACAGTGACTGTGGGGTCAACCCTGGGCACCTCGACAGTACCTGAGGTCTCCAGACCACACCAGCACCCACAGCTACCGAGAATCCCTTGAAAACCACAGTGAACACCATGGCTACCTCTGATACCAGCACAGGGGTTCCTGGCAGCACCCTGACTCCCAACCCTGTCGGGACCACGTTTGAGACCACCCCTGACATCTCTACAGTGACTGTGGGGTCAACCCTGGGCACCTCGACAGTACCTGAGGTCTCCAGTGCAACCATGGGTGAGTGCAGCTGTGGGTGGTTAGAGGGCAGGGACAGGGTCAAGGTGACAAATTCTTGCAGGGACACTGGACGTGTACTTGGGTGGCTTCACGTAGGTGGCTTTGTTTAGGCTCAGTCTGTCCTGGCCATAGGAGCACCCTGCTCCTCTCTGCATATGCCGCTAACACAACATTGCTTTGCCCAGGTACGGAGCCCTCTTCCCCAGCCACTGCCTCACCCCAAACCCCAGAGGTTACCCTCAGCACCGCTGCAGACCTGCCAACAACACTGCCTGTCTGCCCCACTGCCATGCCCAACACCAGTAAGTGCAGTGCCCCGTGGGCATCGCCACCTCTGCCAGCTCCTGGGGCTTTGGGCTTCCAGGGGCCAGTGCAGGGGGGTCCTGGAGCCACCCTACTTTTGCCATGCTCTCCATACAGGGCCATTGATTCTCTCTGGGACGTGTGGTTTGCTGTACAGGTGGAGGGTTGTTCTCCTGATGGTGTAGGGTGTCCATGACATGATTAACCTGGGAGGAGGTCTTGTGTCTGGGGATCTTGCAATCCTGGGGAGAGACCCTCAGGACCTTTAGTGCAGCCCAAGGTTCAAGGGCAATAACCAGAGCCATGTGTTTTGTCCCTAGGTGCGTCCTACCTCTTTCTGTCGCTGCGGCTAACCATTCCCCTGGACCTGGGGAACACCACAGTGCAGGAACTGGTGCTGGCCAAGGTGAGGTGTGCTGGGAGGGGGGTGCCACTTTGCATCTGCCAGCCATGGTGCCGCCAGCAAGGAAGGAGAACAGCTGGGTCTTACATTGAATGTCACCCAGAACCCTTTTTGTTGAAGGGGAGACCATCCTTTGGCTGCTATGGTCCAGGGTCAGGCCCTTCGCACATGGGGACTGATGGTAGGAGACCCTCTTGGGCATGGTTTGATGGTTGTTCTCTCCCCACAGCTCCGTGAAGACCTGCAGATGGCATTTCCATGTGCTGGCCTGGGTGTGGAGTGGCGAGGGAAGAGGAGGACCTGACCTTGCTCCTTACCCAGCCACAACCTGCAATGCTGGCACTAGCAAGCCTTCTGCTCCCAGCTCCTTACCCTATGGTGGTGCAGCCCTTTGGGGTGATCTGTACAGCTCCGCTTGAACCTGGGACCTCCTCGTCCTTCACTGTGCACCACCAGAGGACCCCCAGTGACCCTCATGGGCTGGGGTGCCCCTGTCCCTTCCCACAGCCTGTCTGTAGAGCCTGAGCCCTTCCACCACCCCGTGCCAGACCACGGTGGGACCCCCTCCAGTGCCGCTGGGGGGACTAGGGAGGAGGGCACCCTGCGAGGCTGGGCTTTTACAGTTGGGTCTGAGATGACTCAGCCATGAAAGCCACTCTGGGGACTGATGGAAAGCAGACCTGGAGCACCCGGTAGCCCTGTGCCCAGGGCACTTGAGGGCTTGGTGATGGGGACCTCCCAACACAGGGAGGCTGCAGCACCTGAGGTCTTTGAGAGATGCTCCGGGGCTGTTTCACATCCAGAGTGGGCTGGGATGGAGCCCTGGAGTGGCTCTGGGAAGAGTGCAGGAGAGGAGACTCCTCCTTCCTCCCAGATCCCATACTGGGACCAGCTGGGCTCCTGAGCCCTCCAGCACTGCCAGAGAAGCACACTCACACAATCGCAGGCTGGGCAGTAAAGGGAAATCCCACATTTTCCATGACAAAGATGACGACTTCTTTTTTTTCCCAAGTTGCCTTCCTCAATTTTGGCTTCGCAGATGTATTGGCAAGCAAAACCAGCTGAGTCCCAAAAGCTTTGGAGCAGAGAGATGGGCTCAGGGGTGCCACCACAGACATTCCTGAGGACACCCCAACAGGCTGGGGGGGTCCTTGCTTTGGTGCTCTCCACCCCATGATGCCCCACATGTGCTCACTGTGGGGCCATGGAAATCCCGTGGGCTGGGCTCCTTCCCTGTTTTTTTCCAGTCCCAAGCTAAGGAGACAGCCGCAGCGTCTGTCCCCCTGCAGCTAAGTCATTTATTAACTGATTAATTAGCCAGATAAAATCCAACTGAAGCAATTATTAGCCTAAGCAAGTCACCTCGCCGGGAGATTGAAAACTGAAATAATTAGCAAAATAGCTGTGGTGTTCACTGCGGGTTTTTTTTCGGCTGATCCCTGCTCCTCACTGGCGACACAGGGAGGGTTGGAAAGGGGTGCATGGGGCTGTGGGATGCCAAACCTGGGGACAGCTCCCTGGGTTGTCACCCGGCTGAAAAGGAGCCAACAGCCAAGCGGGACAGGGGAAGGCGCCCTGGGATCACTTGGCTGGGCTGGGACTGGAGGCTGAGCCCAGGCAGCTCCTCAGGATGCTCCCATTTGGATGCACAATTTCTGGCGGTTTTGGGGGCTTGTTTGGGCCATTGGCACCAAGAGAGGTCCCATAGTGCCTGGGCAGGGAGCTGGGGAGCAGGGCAAAGCCTGCAGGAAGGGATCCCCATGCTGGACACCTGGTGGGGTGCCGGGAAAGGAATCGTTGTGCTCTGCCTACGCTGTGGAGCTGGGCCAAGAGCCCTCCCACGCCACATCCCACCGGGCTGATTTCTCCGGCTGTTGAATCCATAACTTCAGACCCCGGGACATGGCCGGGGGCCAAGATCCTGGGTAATGGAGCCAAACTGCGTCACAAAGGGAGGAAAAGGTCCTGAAGTGCTGGGCTGAAAAGGTGACCAGGGCACACGCTGTCCCCCTGCCGGCACAGCTGCCTTCCACTGTGGTCAGGGGTGACAGGGTGAGGAGATGCTCTGGTCTCACTGATCTCCTCTGCCCCCCAGTGTCCCCTTCCCCTTCATCTCCACTGGTAGCTGTGGCCCAGCTCCCGCTGTCTGGCAGGAGGGTGTTGCAACATGTCCAGCTTGCCAAGTCACCCAGAACCTGTGGGGTTGATGGATAACCCAGTTCCCCCCCCACCACTACCCCGAGCCCTCTCCAAATGCCCTTGCCTGGAGGCCAGAGCAGTGCTGGTAGGAGATGCCTGGATCTCTGTGGGGCTGGAACAACCAGCTCATTAATTCCAGGAAGGCTGATAAGGCACCGTGCTGGGCTGTGCTGGGCCATGGTGTGCTGTGCCGGATGGTGCAAAGCCCCTGTATACTGGGTTTCCTGGCATTGCCTTGCAGCTGCAGGCTCCTGAGTGGCTCCAGTGCCCATGCAATGTTTTGGGCCTTGATAACCATGGGTGATGGTTATCCTCGCTGGACCTGGTGGCCTGCCAGGACCTTGGTTTCAGGTGTAGGAAGGATCAATGAAAAGTCCTTTTTCAGAGTGGGAACATCGTCATCCTCGAGATGAGGAATGACCCACAGTGGCTGCAGGCTTTCCCAGGAGGGTGCACCAATGCCAGCGTGGAGGGGTGAGCTCGGTTTGTCACCCCTGTCACTCTGCTGGAGGAGCAGCAGGGAGATGAGGCTTTTTGGGGGACAGCATGGGCAGGAGACAGACACGAGGGTCTCCAGACAGTGCCAGTCCTAGCATACCACGGGCAGGAGCTTGCAGACGGGCTGGGGGTGAGGTGGGCTGGAAGCCGAGTTATTTTCCTCTGTGCCAAGCAGCACATTTGCAACAATCCCCGTGGTTCTCACCACGTTTTGCACCTCAAACACCACCTGGAGCAGCTGTCTCCAGCGTCAGCACATATTCCCCGCCGGGGTGGCTTTCCAAAGAGATAAGGCATCTTCAGCACAGGCAGAAATGAGCCTCCCACGACGGGTTAGCGTCCCTCTAATCCTCCATCAGCCCAGGTGTGGAGCTGCTCAGGTGGTCACTGGCTGGGCAGTCACCCCATGATCTGCAGTGCTGGTTGCACCCCAACACAACATCCTCCTCCTCCAGCTTCGCCCCCACGCTGCCATTTTGGGCAGGCATTTGTTCCGGGCGAATGACGCCTCCCCTGATTTACTGCCTGTGCCCTGTTCCCGCTGCCGGGGGTAATGCGTGGGTTTACAGGACGGGGTTTCATCGGCCGTGACTTGGCCTCCCTCAGCATTGCCCCCATCAACGGGTTGGGGTGTTACTTGTCATGCCCGGGGTGGGGGCAGCTCTGGCAGGACACTGTGTACTGCCTAACACCCCTCATAACACTTTGCAGGAGTCGCCCGAGGGCATTTCTGGTTAAGAAAAAATTTTGATTACAAAATCATGCAGTGGTGGGGGCTTGCATAATGCTGTTCATGGAGGGAAGGGGGGGGAGCTGGCAGCAGTTTTCAAGGGGGGGAAGAGGAATTGCTGCTCCAGGGGAAGAGGAGGCATAGGGGGGAAGTGATCCAGGAGATCCCCGCAGCAAGGAGGGGATCCAGGGTGTGCTTTTTGCTGCTTCAGCCTCTGGGGATTCTGGTCCCACCTCACAGTGGAGCTTTCCTGGTCCATTCACCTCCTCCCAGCCCCCTGGCACTGCTGTGCCCATACTCAGTTGCAGGTGGAAAACATTTCTGGGGCTCTGGATGGGGATCCTCAGTTACAGACGAGTGCTGGGGGGATCGACTGACACCCCAAGGCCTTCCCTCAGCCTTACCTCTCCCTGCTTTATAACTTGCCTCTGCTCCAGAGAAAGCCTTGAGCCAAGTGGGGACTGCATCCTGCCTTGCCCTAGGCTGAGACATGAGATTTTTGGTGCCCGCAGTGTCCCCACAGTTATGATGGTACCAGTTGCAATTGTCCCATCACCACCACCCACTGCTCTGTGGCCCCCTCCACATGAGGATCAGGTCCCATGACATCTGTGGGGAGGGTGACATGGGGACCAGGTCCTGTGGTGTCTATGGGGAGGGTCATGAGGGAAACAGGTTCTGCAGGGGCCATAAGGAGGTTCTTGTGCCACCCTAGTGCTGGTGGTCCAGGTCCCTGAGGGGCCTGGGTGTCTGCAGGGTGTCCTTGGGGTGACTCCCAACTCATGCTCCAGCTGAAAGGGGCACCCAGCCCTTGGGAAGGGGAGGGCTTGGGAGGAAGGGAACGGTGACAGGGACATTGGAGGGAAAGAACCGGGGGCGGGAGGGGACAGCAGCTGCAACCTGCCTCCTCCTGCCATCCCTATAAAGGGGAGGGAACAGGAGTGCACCTGTGGGACTCCAGATCTGCAGGAGAGGCAGGGAGGGACGGAGCTGCTCCTCACCACTCTCCCCTCCCTTTGAGCTTCCCAGCTCCCTGCCTGCACCAAGGCCCGAGGCATGGGGACCCAGGGATGGGCGCTTTCCACCTTTCTGGGATGCTGCTTATGGATTCTGTACGGTACGTCCTATATTTTCTGTTAACACTCATGCTACCTGAGTCCTGGCAGGACACAGCAGGTACACATGTGAGATGCTTTTTCGTCCTGGGGGAAACTTCTCTTACGGTCAATCTTTGCAAAACATTGCGGCCAAAGAGCTAGAAGAGTGTTTTATGGGGCGGGCATCACCCTGAGGGTCTGGGTGCAGGTGTGGACCCATGGGATTGGTGAGGGCCTGGCCCAAGAGCCTGTGTGCAGCCCCGTACCCCTTCAGCAAGGGAGTAGAGTGCAGGGAGTGGGGTCCAGGGATGCTCCCAGCCCTCCCGTGTCCCAGGGAAGAGAAAACTGTGATGGTCCATGCTGGAGCCCCTCTTGCACAAGCTTCCTGTGAATAAGCACTGTGAGGTAGATGGTGTTTCCTGCTTTGTGTGGAAGAATTAAGATAAACCATGGATTTACTGGGATGGAGTGTGCCAGACTAACTTGAGGTGACTTGGCTGTTTTCCCCAAGCAGCTGAGCTCCTCCAGCTGATGGGAATTGGAGCAAAAAGCTTAATTTCAGCAGAGAAAGGTGGGAGAAGGGCAGGAAGGGGATGTTGAGGAAGCAGCTGCTGTGAGGGGAAATGGGGGGGTTGAGGGAGGATGGACCCCTTGGGGACTGGTCTGGCATAAGAGGTAATGTCCATTAATGGCTCCAGCACAAGATATCTGCAAGTTATATTGGTGAGGTTGGAGGCACTTCTGCTGCAGGGGAATCTGGCTGCCTGGCAGAGGGAACCTGATGAACTGGGAGCACTGGGGCTGGGAACAGGCTCAGGCTGTTGGACTGTGGTGAAACACTGCTGGTTCTTACCCTTGGGGTGCTCTTTGTCTCCCCTAATTGCAGCCACCTAAAGCCAAGTGTCAGCAGATCTGGAGCCAACAGTGGCAGCTTGATCTCCCCAAAGCCCACATCCCTGTCCTAAAAATAAGTCTGGGTGAAACGTCACCCATGGATGCCAGTGGGAGAAACTCCTGGGATGAGGGGTGCTGTCTCCATCACCTTTCAGTGATGCTCCTGGATGTGGGACGGGATTTTGGCAGCAGGAGGAGGGAGCTGTAAGCAGGGCTTGGTTCTGGGAGCTGCTGAATATTCCAAAAAATGGGCAGGGAAGACCTGGGGCCTGCACCCAGCTGGGGGAAGGCTCCCACCCTGGGAGAGGTTTAATGAACCCGCTTTAGTTGCAGTGAGTCAGAAGCAATGTGCAGTCAGTGATAGTTTCACTTAAGCCCTAGGGGTTCTGTCTGCCAAAAGGTTTTGGGTGAAGTGTATTTAAATGTCTCATAGACACCCAAAAGGTGGAAAAATGCAAGAAGCCCCTGGCTTTGTAGAAATGACTGCTCTCAGGGCTGCTCCTGCAGTGAGGCAAAGAGGGCTGAGGGCTGTCCTTGGGCGGCAGAGCTCCACAGACACCCCTGGGGCTGTGAACTGGGCTTACTAGGCTCCAGCTCTTCCCATTAACCAGGCAGGACTGTAACTGGGCTGGGTTACAGCGGCTGCCTTGGCCTCTGTGCTGACACCGGCATCTTTCCCTGAGCTGTGATGAGTTGTGCCCAGTCTCAGTCAGCTGCTGCTGCTGCCGGGGATGTAAACGTGCTGTGCAGTGCTGTGCCTTAGGTAGCCCTGGCTGCGTTCCTCAGCTCTTAAATCAGAGCTTTGCAAGGCAGTGGGATGAGGCAGGAGGGTTTAGAGTGGTGTGGGAGCTTCCCAATGCTCAGCCAAAGGGGATGTGCCTCTGAGTCTGGCACGCAGTGTAATGCTCCACTTTCCGCTTCTCTGCAGGGCTCGGGGTTGCTGCTGCCATCCCTGTCACCACCGAGGGGCCGTTTGTGGCAGGGACAGCTTCTACCATCACAGCGGGGAGCGAGGAGCCCCGTGCCCTTGTGATGGGCACTGTGGAGACAACTACCGCAGCAGCTGATGCTGAGATAGCCAAGAGCATCCTTGCAGGGGGCCCGGAGAGCCCGTCCTTCCCTCCCAGGGCTGAGCTGGGCACTTTGGTGACAGCAACAAGCGAATATGGCTCTACAGTGCCAGCTCTGCTGAACGTGACCAAGCCTCTTAATGCATCTCAGGATAATGAGAGGGCTTTGGCTGCTCCTGCTGCAGCCACAACCGTGGTTGCCATCTCCGCACAACACCCTGCTGTCACCCCAGAAGCAGAGCTTGACATAACGGGGGTCACTCCCAATGTGCCCCTGGGGACCGCCCCTCTCTTTGCAGATGTGAAAGAGGATGTCCTTGCGGCCGTGACCAGAGAAGGAGCAGAGGATCTCGCCCCCACTGCTGATACCACGTTCCTCCCCACTGTCCCTCCGCCAGCAGCTGCCTGGAGGGCACAAACAACTGCTGTCAGCCCCATGAGTGTCGGTGTCACTGAGCTGCAGAGCCAAGGGCTAGCCACAGCCATGGGAGCGGTTGAGGAAGGCATACCCCTGCCAGTGGATATCCGAAATGAAGCCAGTGACAACTCCCCCAGCCCCAGTGCTGGGGGGCTGCTCACAACCCAGCAGGATGGGGCTGTAGGCATCACCCCAGAGTCAGCAGGAGAAATGGCCCTGTCACCTGCAGCTAGTGAGGCACCTGTGACGACAGGCGACATCAATGTGCAGAGTGACATGAACACCTCAACCACAGGTGGCATAGGGGCTGTGGGTCTGGCCACACCGTCTCTGCAGCCTGCCCCATGGCAGAGCCCCACTGGAGAAAAGCCACTGCTGCCTGCTGCTGGTCCTGGGGGTGCTTACCCACCCCTGGGTGCTGGGGCTGGCAGTCTGCCTGCCCCTGACGGTGGGGGCGGTGGTGCGCTTGCAGGTCCCCCTGCCACTGACGATGAGGCAGCGACACCAGTGAGCCCCAGCCTCAGTGCTGCCCCAGGAGCTCTCTTGTCCCCATCCCTTGGAGGGTGGAAGCCGTGGGAGGTGGCACTGGGTGCTCCCTGGGGAGATGATGGACCAGGCACTGGCTTGAATTCGGCTTCAGCCACCCTGAACCCAGCGTCTTTTGTACCTGATGGACTGACATGGCCCACTGTTGGGGCGCAGGGTCAGAGGACTGAGGGTGCTGGGGACGCAGCACAGGCAGGAGGTCCAGGGGATGGCAGTCCCTATGCAGATACTCAGAGTGACAAGAGTCCTTCAGCCATCAGCAGTCAGCAGGATCCTGCTAACACTAGAGAGCTGCCAGCAGAAGGAACAGGAGCTCTGACAAATGCTGGACTGTCCCCTCCATTGGCTCTCGGAGATGGAGCAGGAGCAGCCACAGCAGCAATAGGACAAGGGTCTCCTCCAGGTCCTGCATTTTCTGGCAATGCTGGGCCCAACCTCTTGGGGTCTCAAGGACCAGGAAACCTCCTTGGTGAATCCCCCATCTCTCCTGGGGCTCCTCACTCACCCCCAGGGGCTGTGGTGTCTGCAGCAGAAACTCCAGCATACCCTGACCTTGGTGCTGCCCCAGGAGCACCTGTGTCCCCATCCCCTGAGGGGTCACTGCCACTGGGGACAGGAGCTGGTGCTCTGCAGGAAGCAGGTCTCCCCAGAGCCGAGGGACCAGGCACCAGTTTGACTTCAGCATGGGATGCCCCCAGCTCAACAGCTTATGGACCAGAGGGACCCCCTTTGCCTGCCCCTGGGGACCAGCTTGACACAGACCTGGAGCACACGGGAGAAAAGGGGCTTGGACTCGGTGTGGTGGAGCCAGTACTGGGAGGAGTGGGCAGTGGGACTGGGTTTGAACCACCCCTGAGCTCCTCTGTTGGCAGCGGGATGGTGCCTGGGATGGATCAACTGCCCAATGTGGGTTCCTTGCCTGGTCCTTCTTCTCCCAGTGATGTAGTGTCAGCATCATCTGTTTCAGAGGGTGATGGAGCAGGACCCATTGCAGCCTCAGCCCCTGGCTCTAACAGCCTGTCTCTGGCCTCTCCAGGCACTGAAAGTGGCCCAGAGCTTTCTGCAGCACAGGGGACTGAGAGTGCAAGGGATGTGGCACAGGCAGGAAACCCAGGGAGCAGAATTCCCTATATGGACATAAGTCCTTCAGCCATCAGTGCTCAGCAGGATCCTGCTAATGTGGGAGAGCTGCCAGCAGAAGGAGCAGGAGCTTTGGCAAATGCTGGATTGTCTCCTCTGTCCCCTCTTGGTGATGGAGCAGGAGCAGCCCCGGCACTGGGACAAGTGTCCCTGCCAGGTCCCACACTTCCTGGCAATGCTGGGCTGGAGCCCAACCTCTTGGTGTCTCAAGGACCAGGAAACCTCCTTGGTGAATCCCCCATCTCTCCTGGGGCTCCTCACCCACCCCCGGGGGCTGTGGCCATCCCCATGTCTGTGGCAGAAACTCCAGCACACCCTGACTTTGGTGCTGCCCCAGGAGCACCTGTGTCCCCATCCCCTGAGGGGTCACTGCCACTGGGGACAGGAGCTGGTGCTCTGCAGGAAGCAGGTCTCCCCAGAGCCGAGGGACCAGGCACCAGTTTGACTTCAGCATGGGATGCCCCCAGCTCAACAGCTTATGGACCAGAGGGACCCCCTTTGCCTGCCCCTGGGGACCAGCTTGGCACAAACCTGGAGCACACGGGAGAAAAGGGGCTTGGCCTCGGTGTGGTGGAGCCAGTACTGGGAGGAGTGGGCAGTGGGACTGGGTTTGAACCACTCCTGAGCTCCTCTGTTGGCAGCGGGACGGTGTCTGGGATGGATCAACTGCCCAATGCGGGTTCCTTGCCTGGTCCTTCTTCTCCCAGTGATGTGGAGTCAGCATCATCTGTTTCAGATCCATCAAGCCTGGGTGCCCTCAGAGGAGTCGGCGATGCACTTGGAGCTCTGCAGCCATCCCTGGGTGCTGGATCTGGTGTCTCTCTTGCCATAGGAGAAGGGGCAGATGATGTGACAAGGGATGGAGCTTCCTTAGGGCAGTCCCAGGCCCCTGTCAGAGCAGGACCAGCTGGTTCTGGAGCCCCTGATGGAGAAATGGGAGCCATAATGCAATCCGCATCTTCCTCCTCCTCTACGGAGAGATCTTCATCACCTGGCATGGCTGGTGAGGCTGCCAATGGAGCAAGCCTTCCTGGAGCTGGTGGAGCAGGCGATGGCTTGAGCAGAAGCTTGGAGGCTGCTGGACCTGAGGAACCCTCCATGTCTGCTCCTGGCACCCAGAGCGGTGCTGATCTTGGACCTTCTGATGCAAAATGGAGCCAAGTAAATGTGGTGAAGCTTCCTGGAGGAGCCTCGGTGAATGAGGGACCTTCCTCTGGTGCCAGCCTGGGAGGGGACACAGGAGCCATCACACAGATCACGTCAGAAGCACTGGCCCCATCTGCCCTTGGCTCCCCCAGGCAGATGCAGCCCCTGGTCCCAGTGGCTCCAGATGCTGGTGGTGTCTCTGATGGCGCAACTGCCTTGCTGGCTCCTTCTCTGCTCCTCCCTGGGCATGGGCTGGCACCCAGCAGAGACTTCCAATCTGCCCCCAGCACTCAGAGCAGGAACATTCCCCTGGTGGCGGTGACACCGGGTGGGCTGGTGGGTGATGCTGGAGGCTCTCAACCATCATCTCCTGAAGATGAGGTGGCCTCAGGGATGCCAGTGGCTTCAGGAGAAGCATCCCCCCTTGCCCCCGTGTCCCTCAACACTGCCCCGGCGCTGCCTTCTGCTCTGGAGAGAGAAAATGCTGCTGGCCCCAGGCTTCCAGCACGTGAGTTGATGGCAGGGTCCTCTGCAGGGGAAAGAGGAGAGATGGGGGCTGCTGTGCCAGGGGGTCCTGCTCTGCTCCCACCTCCCCACCAGCCAGGAAGCCCTGGGGACCCCTCCAGGGATGCTGACATTCCTGTGCTGGGGCAAGCGAGTGCCATGCTCCCTGGAGCGATGGCAGGGCGAGGGGACATGGCTCAGCTCCTTCCTGGCACAACTGGAGCCAGGGCAGGTGTGGAGACCCCTACTCACTTCCCACTTGGGGGGAGCCCAGGACTCCCTGGACTTCGTCCCACTGGGATCGCTGCTGGCAGCCCTGGATCAAAGACCCTGGGGCCAGGACCTGCTGGTGGCTCATTACCCGCCACCCTGCAGCAGTTCTTGAGTGGTGAGGTGACCACCAGCCTGGCAAATGCAGCCCCTGTGGCCCTTCCAAGCCAGGGGGCAGCCCAGAGGGGGTCCCCAGCCACCGCACGCCCAGCCGTGTCCTGCAGCCCAGCTACCACCAGCCTGGCCCCACCAGCCCCCGCTGCCGGGGGC